ATAAAGTAAGATCCAGACACTCGCTATCTTTTCTCTTTTCTTACAGATCTATTTGCTTCCTCTGTTTTTCCCCTATGAAGTCAGGGAGGCAGTTAGGGTCCCATTTCAACAGATTAAACAGATAAGCAGAGGGATGGGTTTTTTAATAACATTTTACAAATCTCCACAGCAAGCCCATTATTCATATGAGAAGAGACTATAAAGCAGATATATTGGAAGGTTTATTAAAAATTATTACAGGAATTGCAAGCCATTCCTTTTTTTAAGCTAAGTGTAAATTATTGTCACTACACTTAGAAGCTCTGTAAACTGTCCTGCACCTAAAGGGTTATTAACACGCACCACTCTTGTATACGACTTCTTTCCTTCCATTGCAAGCTGACTTTTTTTCCAAGGTTTGGTGTCACTGAAGTGCAGTGTAAAATTGTGGCTATTGTTGGCCTCTTTACACACTGTTCCTAACTTAACAAACAGAGCAGTTTAGAAGGTCAAATAGGAAAACAATATCTTAAGAAAATAGCAACTTCTGTGGCTTTGAAATAAAAAAATCGGTGCCAAAATGTTTATCTCCTCGGTTCATGAAGCCATAAAATAAGTACAGCACTGTGAATCATCTCAAAACTTCAAAGCTTGTATGCCCAGTGTACCATTTTAGGGCTATTAAGTTGTACAGCTACTGTACTTGTAGTAAATAGTTATACAAGATTGTAGCAGCAGTGCCAAAGGTTTCACCCTTGCAACAAAATTTCCTTAAAGCTACACTCTTTACCATGAGCTCACTGTTTAAGTTCGTAATGTCTCTTACCATCTCAAGAGCTCCTACACAAAAAAGTTACTGACCATTACATTGAAAATACCAACTTCCTTTAGAGAATACAGTACTCCAAATATAGATATTACATTATATACACTGTGAGTAATGAAATGCAATAAGTTAATTCCTTTGACATATCAGCATTTCTGTAGAAAAGCAAAGTAATGGTTTTTCTTATTGCATCAAAGACCATGATAAAAATTCACTAAACTAAAAAACTCATTCTATGAGATTGAAGGTGGTACTATACCCTCAAGATGTTACGTAAACCAAGAAGAAAATAAAAAGCCATATCTTTCAGGAATATGTGATCCAGAAATGAGCAGAACATTTATTCACCTACACTGATATCTTGCCTACATGTGATTTTTAGTCATTTGTCCCAATTAAATGGTATAAAGGCTCAATTTACATGTGTATGTAAAGTCTATCCCATCACAATCTGTTTGCACCCGCCTTATGTGCAGCTGCTTGCTATTCCAGCTGGCTGGGATAATCAGAAGGCACCACAGGTGTCTTACAGAGGCCATCTGGGAGGTCTTAAGCCAAAATCCCCATTAGGCGAAATAATGAACAAGTCCTATGGGGCATCCTGAATTTTTTGTATATGTCCTAGGACACTGTACAAGATTTGTGTTCATGTAATCTGGCAAACCCACTTGTATCAGTGGCCAAGGTTTCAAAGGAAAATTAAACCAAGCTTTTATGCACTTGGCTTATTATGAATTGCATTGTCATGGGAGAACTTTGTTATGACCTCAGTTAACCATCATGTTATATTTAAATATTGAAGACCATTTTTTAAGGTTATGCACAAGAAGCTGCCACTAGTTCTCTTTTCCCCAACAATTTGTTAACACCAGTAAGACTGCAAAGTCAACTTAAGCAAGTTTCAACTAATGCTGAACAAGTTGCGATAAAGATTTAGACCAGTTCTCACCTTCCCTATCAGGACATGTCTGCAAGGATACTCACCTCATTTTGGAGATTGTCCTCAGCATGTCTTTATAGCAGATCTCTGCCTACATCATACTACACAGTCCATCATAAATTAATTTTTCATTACTCCTTTTTGTAGAATAGATTCACTTCTATCCAGAATATCTTCTAATTAGCTGTTTCTTCTTCCATGCCCACATATTTACATCATCAGAAAGACTGGCTGACCAAAACAATGTCTTCTCTAGTTGCTTTGACACACTCCCTCTTCTTTAAAGCCTACCCAGCAAAATAAACTCCAAACATGTCCCTGAAAGTCCTTACACTTATTTGTAAGCTGTATCTTCGTTGCATTTTTTCTCTGTTAATATCAATTTCTTCCTTTGTCAAAAAATATACTTTCAGTCCAGCCACTCGTATTGACTTTGCTTCTTGCTTTCCATCAGCTAAGTGCCTGCATTTAGCTAAATGAACTTGTGCAATGCTTCCAAGGCTTGAGAGGTGTGCACAGGAGAGGCTGTTTCCTGCAACGGCTTTTTTCTACCGGTAAAAAGCACATTCACTTTTTAAAAAAAAAAGATGTTTTTACCCTTCATTCCAAAGCTTGAAACCTTAGTAAATTAGCTGAGAAAATAACTGAGTGGAATCCCACAATGCTGCTGCACAAAATATTTCACCTAACAGAAAAAAGTTATTCAGTCCCTTTGTTCATGCATAAAGCGTATGAAAATCCTCTCTAATTAAGCAGCATTGCATAATTCCTAGTAATTATAGAGTATTCAAAGGCAACATACTGTGGAGGTGAAAATACGACTTATATTGCCAGACACGCTTCTCTTAATGTACATTTATTGCCAGTCCATTCCAGCAGAAGGAAACCTAGGCAAACAGTTCAAGCAAAGACCCTATCTTTGAAAGGTGATCAGTACTTCTAAGATTTACTATCAGCAACTAAGAATTCTTGACCTTTTGAGAGATCAAAACCAAATGAGAGATCAAAAAAAAAAAGATTTAAGCACCTAGCTCCAAAATTCCTACTCTCATAGGACCCAATTTTAGAGGTAGGTAAATAAATGTGCCTGAATTCTTTTAAATCAACTTTCTAAAATACTTTAATTTCTGCTTTTGGTCATGCATACTGTCCTCCAAGCCACAAAACCAAGAACCAGCTATGTGTCCAGCATTTCAGAATCCCCAAACTATTCATATTCTCTCTCTCCTGCTTTGAGACTTTCCTTTGGTATGATTGTTTGTACACTGCCTAATAGATCAAACTATGACTGGGAAGGGATTTTTTGCTTCTTTTAACCAAAGTTCACCAGTTTTATATCCAACCTCACTTGTTAGAGTACTTATTAATGCATATACATAGAGTCATTTGGCTTAGTTTCTCCTTAGGAGCTATTTTGGCAATTAACAGGCACATTTATTTAAATGTAAAATACACTGGATATACACAAATAGTTGATAAACTTATGCATTTGATTTTACAATTTCAGAAGCTTGCTTAGGAAATAGAGGATATATTTGCTAACCCAGACAGTTTTTTCATCTTCACCAGATGGAATCACCTTGTGACAAGCAGTTTTAGAGAGATTTCTTAATAAAAACTAGATATGAGTTCCCTAACAGTGTTGCTTTGTATCTAAACACATTTTCATTAATTACATTAACAATCAAAATCAAATGTCCTAGAAGACAAATGTTTCCAGTTGGATGACATAATGAATTTAGAATGTGTTATATTCATGTTGAATGTAAATTAATGGATTTTAACAGACTTAGACTAATTATATCTCTAAAATCAATAGAAAAGTCACTTGAATTTACCTGTTTTGATAGTGAATAGCTATATAATTTAAGACTATGGACATATGCTCATTTTTCAAAAGCATTTTGTAAAGGCATGATCCAAAGCACACCTAAATTAACAGGAGAACCTACCCTTGACTTAAACAGGCTGTGGATCAGGCCATAACCACTGTGATTTTGTGAAGAATAGAAGTCTCAGGTGATTTCTTATAAGATACGATGAGAAATGAAACACACACAGGTTCTCATTGATCATAGCTGGAGCCCACAAAGTGACATGTGAAAAGTGGCAAAAAGGGAACCCATGAGGACTGGAAAAGACTCAGATTTTATGGGTTATTGATTTACCAGGAAGAGTCTTGCCAAGTTTAAATGAAAGAAAACAGAAAAATGGCATAACCTGGGCGTAATGCTGTTGAGGTAATGCACTATGTGAGTGAGAGCTGTGGTAGCGTTCTCTAACACCCCTTCATAAAGCAGCTACATAATTTTAAAGAAATAAATGGCTACAGTAAAAATTTAAGAGATCAGCATCCCAATGAATTATAAAGTACATATTACCATGTATGCCGGTATTTTTACAAAGCTAAAAGTACCGCATGTGCAATAAATTTCTAATAAACATTTAAATGTTATCTTATGAAAAGTACTCTTGTAGACTGAAATTTTAAAAGGTGATGAACTTTAATTACAAAACTGCTCTCTTATTTCATTGATATAATTAATTAAACCACATGAATGAATGTGCAACATATGCTCAACAAAAAATGTTATATACTTCCCACAATTCTGTAATTCCCTTCCAGAAAAGAGGGTTCATAGCTCAGCAACAATGATGCACCAAAATGGTAAAGATAAAAACATCTAGTTCCAGTAAGAGAAAATTTTCATACAAAAATTGTTATTCTGTCTCTGTTTTTCAGACCCAAAACTCATGGAAGATCTGTAATTTATGGTCAAAAAGATAAACTGACAATTAAATAAATAATACTAATACATATGGGCTCCGTAGTGATGCTGAATTTATGGCTTACATTATAGACATGAGAGAAATCCTTTTTTTCAAAAGGGATCTAAATAATTAACATAAATTGATTAGATCACATTGGTTAGATTTGGCTTTTAGGAATTTGGTTTTACCTTTAATTTTGCAGGTTTTTATCTGAAAAAAAAAATTGCAATCAAAAAAATTGTTCAACATTCTATAGTGTGGGGAAATATCTTTTCTTGAATAAATCTTTCTTTAATAGTCACTTAGATTGCACTATAGTTTATCAACCAATATAACATAAAATTTGTGATTTTTTATGTATTTATACTTAAGTGAACAATCTGCATGAAATTAGAATATGTAGTGTGAAAACCAGTATGTCTTTTTTCTATTGGTTTGTCATGTAGAGGCTTTTATGGTCTACTGGGGCTGTTATTTCCTTACCTGGAACTCTCTTTGCCCAGTTGATCATGTGCACTAATTCTCTGTCTGCAAGGTTGGTCAACAGGGTCATCATAGAGGCTTCGTTGAATGGTCTATTTGGGTCATATTCAGAATAAACTATGGGTGGCTCAGCTTCCAGCAAGGCACTGACCATCTGTTCTGCCGTCAGGGACAGGGCTGGACTGTTCTTCTTGTTATGTTTAATCACCAGTGGACTTGTCCAAAGGGTGGGAGCTCGTAGCTCTGTAGAAGAAGCCTCCCCATTCCTGGAATCCTGCTCCTCTCTTTGACGTTTTTGTTTCATCATTCGCCCACCTCTGCGGTCTTTCCGAATTCCTAGAGACACACAAGAACATAATGAACATCTTTCCTTGAACATATGTATTACATACACATGGCTTCAGCCAATCAGCAGCTGCTGTTGATAGACCCAGGTAGCATTAACTCTTGGTTTATTTTCTGAAGGCTTCTTCCTATATATTTAATCTTACATCAGTAGTTGGAGAGAAAAAGTATTTTTAAAACTATAGTGTCATGAATAGTGCGCTCCTTCCTAAAATTCAGATTAGTTGGACTTACACAGGACTTTACACTAGTGACACTGTATAGCTGCCTTAGCCCCACAAAAGGAAGTCCGTAATTGGGAATAAATATTTCTTTACAGCACAAACTTCAAAGTATGTCCCAACCTCTAGCAGACAACTATTCTATAAATGATGAACGATAACCTAATGATCTGGGTGGATCAGATGGATCACAGAAGTGGCTCTGAAAAACTATCCAAGAAAGTTTTGCTCAAGTTCACCAATTATTTTAATGAAACATCATCCTATTAGCGAGCTTGTGATCTTCATAATTAGATAAAAAACATACAAAAAAGTTCCCAGTATAAGATGAGCTTATGCAGCAATGAAGAATGCCATATAAGTAGATAAACAGGAGTAAGAAAAGGAAAGATAATTGCAACCTCAGAATGTAATGTGGGAGACCTACTGTCAAAAGGCTGTAATAACTGCAACAGAAACCATCTTTGTCATTACTGCACATTTCTGCAATGTGCTTAGCACTGTATGACCCTGAACCTTGGGATATTATCAAGTCAGCCATACCAATTAGAACAACATAAGACCTTACAGTGGAACAAAATCTCCCTTTGTGGAAAGGTTACAAGAAAAATATAATGATAAATCCCACGTGGAGTCCAACCATAAAGGGAAGATTAAGTCTGGCTCTGAGTGGAGGAGGCACAGGCATTTTGAGGCTGAGTTAAAAACTTAAATCAATCATCAAATGGGGCCGAGGGACAAGCAAGTAATAATGAAAGCACACAAGGAATTGAGCTATGAGGAGGAGGCAACTTATGATGGGGCTTATTCTGCAGTTCTCATGCAGTATGGAAGAGCAGCACTAGCCCCAGTTTCAAAATCAAAAGAAGAAGTATCTATAGAGAAGGAGGAATCAAACTATTCAAGAAACAGAGAAGAGAGAACAATTTAAAACAAACAAACAAACAAAAAACCAGCTTTGAGAACTGCTGGCACTTGCAAGCGAACAATACAGACCTTTCTGATGGGTGGGGGAGTGGGAAAGACAGTTTTTGCTCAGCTTTTTTCAAACCACAAAAATTTAAACTTTTAGATTCCAGTCTTTGTTAGCAACATCTTCATCTCACATCCAATATCCCTTCCTATAAATGTTGGATCATATCAGCAGGTATCCTTTCCCAATCTCAAAGGAAGAGAGAGGATCTTTAGATCTGTTTGCCGCTTTCTTTGAATGTGGTGATATTTTCACTGAATTAGTATGTGAAGATTAAGCACTTTACATCTAATTCATTCAAAATCCAGTAGGCCTCCTGATTCTATTCTATTAATCTTTCCAGATAAAGCGAGTTCAATAAATCTTTCATCACTCCTACTACTTAACCTCTCTACACTTTCCCACTCATTAAACTAGTTGTAAGCCAAAAGTCTCAAGTGAGTTGCTGCTCCCATTTTTCATTCAGCAATACCAATTTTTTCTACCACTAAACTGTTTCTACTTAGGAGAGGAGGGGGAGATTCTTGCTGTTAAGAAAAAATGCAAGACTTATTTTGGCAAAATGTCATCCTAGAGTTATTCTCATTAGTAGCTTACTTCATTGCAGTACTCAATAGCATGCATGCTCTATGTGTAACAGATACTTCTGTTGTATGCTTTTTATTGATGTAATGTTTTTGAATTAAAATTGTCCTGTGAAACATGCAGGCATAATCATGTGAACAAACCCACATGGTTCATACACATTTAAAGCATTTGTTAACTTTCTCACATCCCAAACTCTGCAGCTGCTTATCTAGCAATTTCCTTTTAAAGAGTTAAAAGTATCCTTGGGGCCTGTACTGTTCAACTTACTCATAAATAGATGGACTCAGAACTGACATAATTCAGAAACAAGATCTTGGGGTTAGAATAATACTATGAAAAGATCAGATAAGTTAGTGTAGAAAGTAAATAGAACGCTAGAAATTACCAGGAGAGGAACAGGGGACATAGCATCTCCATAAATCACAGATTTTATTAACTCATGAGGCACGCTACAATGAACACTGTGTGCAGTTCTGTTCTTCCCATTTTAAAAAGCGATATAAAAGAAATGAAAAAGTGATAAGAGAAAAGAGAAGTAAGATGATCTGAAGTGTGAAATAGTTTGGTGCAAGAAACAGCTAAACTGACTAGGTCTGCTTAGCCTGCAAGCCAGATACAAGACTACAAAATCAGGAGTAGCAAGAAGATGAATAAGGTAGGAACATTGATGCTTCTCTTCTAACACAAGATGGTATCAAATGAAACTACCCCATGCAAGGTTCAGGACAGTCAAGAAGAGGTTCTCTTTCACACCTTGCAGAAACAAAGCTGAAAGTGTGAATAAATTAGAAGTTGGTATATGTTAGAAAGCTGTAGGCCAAATCTGATGAAGAAAAGAATCCATTAAGGGTTAATAAACACAAATAGGGCACCTTTGGCCTAAGTCTCTATGGCATAGATTACTGGAAGATCAGAAAGGATTTTTTTGTTTTGCTTTTTATTTATTCTAGGCCTGCCTTGTTAAGTGAAACAAGGATGTGATGAGAATTTGACATAACAGAGGGAAGGAGGCAAATGTAACCACATTTAGCTGCTTACAAATCAACTAGATTCTAAATAAGAATAATGGTTTTATTTTTAATTCAGCTTTAATTCAGCTTCCCACTGGCTTTTCTTCACCTTGAAAAAAATTGATGCATTGAGCAAAGTTGAACATAACCAGTTTGGAGGAGGTGCCCCACACAAATTTATTTTTACATTTTTATTTTGGGACTTAAAACAACCAACCAACCAACCAACCATAGTAAGCCTACACTAGATTTTTTAGAGACCAGATCTGGAAAAAAGAGTCAGTAAGAGTATGCATTCCTTCTGCATGACATCAGCAGCTTTTATGATCACAGACAAGAAAGGTCTTTGAATCTGTATAAGCATCATACTCATCAGTGATTTATAGAAATTACTACTAACTCTTCACCTAACCCCTAGATGGACAAGCAACATAGTGATTTTATTATTCATTTTCTTGGACCAAATAAGAGTGAGTATCTCTCTCTGAAAAATACAAGTGTCTCCAAATCTCCTTCAGCTTAATCAAATTTTATCTCTGTTAAAAAGAGATAATAGTGATGCAGTTACTAATTCCAAAAAAAGACAACTCTATCAAGATACAACTTCATTGCCAAAAGTGCAATGATCCTGTAAGGGTTTTTTTAAATATATGAATGCATTCATTTTGATTCCACAGTTCAGCCAATAAAGGAACCTGAATTGCCTAATGTTATGAAAAACAGTATTTTACCAAAAATGGAAGTACTATGTATCTTGCAAAAGCTCTAAAACAATTTCCACTTGAGTTTTAAAGCTACAAGAGCCAAGATTTTCAAAGGCAGTTTTATAAAGCTTTATGTGTAAATTCAGTCAGCTTTTTAGATATGGAGGGAGGCACGTTCCAAAACTACTGAGTAATTATATACTGCAGTCAGTAGAACCTCATCAGCAATAAAATTGCATATGGGCTGTGGAGGCAATGTTAACCAAATGAAACATTTCACTAGTGTTTTCCAACATGTGATTAATACAAAATAAAAAATAAATTCCAGATTATTAAAAAAACAGTCCTACATTAGGAATGTATTGGATGAATATTGAATCTCAGCCATCCAACAGCCACCTTCTAACAACAAAATTCCACTTTTATATCTTCAGTATTCTATAAAATATTCAAGAATATTTACAGGAAGAAAAGGAAGAGAACAAATAGAATAAAATTTGCTTTGCTGTCTGTGAACCATAGAATTATATATTTTAGATTTAAAGATATATGTGTAATCTCAAATTCTATTCTACTTAAATATATTTCCTATGAACTGCTTTATATAATATTCTTCAATTTCTTTATTATTAGAATTTTTTTAGGAATATTTGTCAAGTAAAGAATGCTTATTGTTTGCAATAAATGGGAACATATTTGATAAAACCCAATAAACTTCTCTTCCCACTAAGACTCAAAAAAACCTGGTTATATGATAAAACTGGAACAGACAAGATATTTTTATGTCCTTCCTATTGTTCAGTATCCTGGAAATCCTAAACACAACAGCTATTGCTTTTTGTCTTGTTTGCAACACACACCTGCTATCTGGACTACTTACTGTGCTAGTTTCAGTAATGTGATACAAAAAATGCAAAAGACCTTCTTCATCTCTTTCCCCCATATGCACAACATTCATTCTGCTTGTTCACATGAGGGGTGTTATTAATATGGAAGCTGCATCTGCCTATCATTGTAAAGTTTATTGACTTGCAGCCTATTTTTTAACCCATTTCTTCATGCTCCATTTCGGTTTTGCTGGAGTTCCAAACAGCTTTCCAACAGCTGCAAGCAAAAACTACAATAAAGTTATTTTCTACAAATTGTACCTGTCTTTGAAGGTTAAAACTCTTGGGTGAATTTTATGTTTAATCTTATCTTACTTACCTGCAAATGCAGAAAAAAAAACCCATACCCCAATATTTTTGGAATGAAACCTACCCCAAAAGTCTACAGAGGTCTAGTCCTCTAACCACATTTTAGTATACAGATTTTCAGCAAATTATTTTTTGACTATCGGTAACAGTGGTCATCAATCATTGAGAAGGCTCCAGGCACTTTACCCGTGGAGCCCAGCCTCATGAACACAAACTCTCCTTGATCTGCAATCTCCTGGATCCCCTCAGAAAAAGTGAGGCATCAGCCCTGAGCAACGTCCACAACCCAAAAAATTTTG